TAAATTTAATTTTTAATATTTTTTTATTGCATAGTTTTTAAATTTTTTGTTGTTGTTGTTCTCTTCTTCACAGTAAGGGCTTGCGCTGGTCTTGCATTAAATGCAGACCAACTGAAAAAATTATTTGAAAATTACATCAGTGTTTTTTATGTATGCATTTTAGTAGTTCTAAACATGATTTAATTCATTAATAACCGTTTGTACATAGTTCGGACTTATCAGCTGACATATTTTTTATATATTCTTTCTATGGTTTATTTTCAAATATCTTTTCTACGCTTAATTTGTTTGTTTCTTTGCGTTGTTTGTGAATATTTTGTGATATCATATCGGATTATCTACAGCATATGATGTTTAGTCAGATGATTTGTTTATCATATGCTATATTTTGAATATTTTATGCTTTCTTTTTCAATACTTCTTCATATCCGTTAAGACATCATTTGATGTTTAATCATGTGATTTTCCCATCATATGATATTTGTTTATTTTATTTTATTTATTTACTTTCCCTATTAAGCTTTTGTTATCTCATATCTTATTATACATCATGTGATGTCTCGTCATATGTATATATTTTTTACCATACGACGTTTTGTCATATGATGTTTTTTTTTATACGTCGCTTTAATACTACTGTTTTCTAAAATTATTTATAAAAATGTTAGAAAAAACATATTTTTACGCTAATAGTATGTTCGCCAATGAGCATAATCATTTCGTGTGATGTCAAAAACCTGCTCTAATGACCAACTCGCACCAATATAGTTTAAGCCTTGTTATTTCCAAATATTTTAAAACAAAAAATAGACTTTTAACAAAAACCAGTAACGAAATTGTCTGCATATTATGGAATCGCTTGCCATTGATGAACTGCATTTTCCGTAAGCCGAAAAGTCCAAAATTTAAAATTTTGTGAATTTTTCTGCAAAATTTGACGGTTTTTTCCGAAGTAAAGCCCAAATATGACTTTAACAGATTAAGCCTAGCGATGACTTGTATTCACATATTTAGTTGTATGTATGTGTTGTTTATGTTAGTGCAGCTGCTCTGCAGCCATTAATGCACTGAATTAATTCGGCCAGTCACCAACGAAACTCGCAAACATCGCGTGGTCAACTCGGAGTAAAAAAATTTAAAAAAATTGAAAAAAAGTGTTGTGTATGTGTATATGTGCGTGTGTGCCCAAGCCAAAGCGCATCTGATGGCGTGGAAATGGAATTGATGGCAGTCTCTTGCGATTGGGCAGAAAATTACTAGTTATTGTTTTTGTTTTTGTTGTTCTAACAATTACTATTCGCAATGTACATTCACTTTTTGCGGCAGAAGAAGCTTAAAAGTAAGCTTTGTGTGTGCCATACATACAGACATACGGTAAAATAAACATGTTCAGCAGAAAAGTGTCAAAGCCAAGAAATAAAAAGAAAATATACACAAATTTAAGGCTGCATTTTTAATTAATCACAACAATGTTTTAGTGTGTATTATTTTTGAATGCATTTTATTTTTATTAGAAATGCTGGGTTGAACAAAATATTTGGAAAATAAAAAAAGTTTTAAATAGAAGAAAAAAAATTAAAAAATAATACATTTTAGTA